TTTGCTGGTAGCAATCTCTACTTATTCTCTTTCAATTCGGATTCAGCTAGGGATTGGGTATTGGACAATGGCCCTTGGCACATTCTTAACAAGCCATTAATCTTAAGGAAATGGGAGCCTAATCTGACTAGGTTACACTTCGATCTGTTTAAAATCCCATTATGGGTGCATCTTTATAATGTGCCTCTCGAATTATTTTCGAGAGATGGATTAAGCTATTTAGCTAGTGTAATTGGTAATCCGTTATCTATGGACTCCATTACTGCCTCAAAAACTAGGTTAGAATTTGCTGAAGTTTGTGTTGATGTAGGAGTTTAAGATGTTATTCCTCAAACTGTATAAGTTGTTTTGGCAAATGGACAGACTTCCACGATATTTGTGGAAGTTCCTTGGTTCCCAAAAAGCTGTAAGAACTGTAATTCTTTTGGTCACAGTGAGAAAAACTATTTAATCAACAAGAGTGTTAAATCTGCTCCCTCACAGATTTGGATGAAGAAGATTGATTCTGCTAGTGGTTCTGATATTATTCACAATGACTCTTCTAATCCTTCTCTGATTCCTGAGCCTTTTGTTTCTCATCCTCCAAAAGAGAACCTTATTTGTGACTCTATTCCCTCCAAAGAACCTTCTTGTTCTTCTATCGGAATCAAAGATACTACTGCTAATAGGGACTCAAATACCAATATCTCTACTATGGAAGAAGTGAGCTTGGAGTCAGTTATTTCAAATGTTGTCAGCAATGCACCTTCTCATACATCAAACCTTTCTGAGGTTTCTGCTGAAGCCTTTCCTAATTCCCTTATTCAATCAGAATCATCTGATAAAGGTAACATTGATTCAACTATTCCAAAGAGAGGTAGAGGAAGAGCTGTAAAGGTTAAACCTAAGATTGCTCTTAAAGGTTCCTCAAATAGATTTGAAATTATTAACTCTGTTGATGAGAATTTCCCTTCTTTAGAGAACCAATGTAAGAAACCTAGGGTTGCTGCTTCGGGTGTGGCTTTACTTATCAAGGATCTAAAATCTAAAAAGAAAGAGCAATTATGCAAAGTTAAAAGTAACTCTGATAGAGTTAATGGGGGCAACTCTGCTTCTTCATCTCAATGATAGTATGCTTATGGAATGTTAGAGGATTAAATCATCCTCAAAAACAAAATAAAATCATGCACAGGGCTAGTCTGTATAAGGTTGATGTTCTTTGTTTGATGGAGACTAGAGTGAAAGCAGAAAAAGCTGATGATCTAATTAAAAACAAGTTCAACAATTGGAATTTTTGTTTTAACTATGACTATTCTTCTAATGGTAAACTTTGGATCCTTTGGAAAAAAGAGTTGACTTTCTCTTTTTGTCATGCATCTGCCCAATGTCTCTCTGTTAAAGGGTATTTCAATGGTATTCCTTTTGCCATCTCTGCTATTTATGGTAGTAATGATGGTATTCAAAGAAGAATTCTTTGGCAACACCTTAGAGAACTTGACTCTACCTATGGCTCCTACCCTTTGATTCTTGGTGGAGACTTCAATATCTTCCTTAATTCTAATGAAAGCTCTGATCATGATATTCTAGGTCCTTATTCCTCTACTGACATGATTGAATTCAAAGATACTCTCAATGACCTCCTTCTCTATGATCATCCATTCTTTAGCCCTACTTACACTTGGAGCAACAAACAGAAAGAGACTTTTCTTGCTAGAAAACTTGACATAGTCCTTATTAATTCTTTTTGGGTTACTTCTTTTCTAAACTCTTATGTTGAATTTATGGCTCCTGGACCTTCAGATCACTACATGGCTCTTGCTTGGCTTAATAAAATGCTCTTGTTCATCACCCTAAGCCTTTTAAATTCTTCAATATCTGGTCTACCCTTCCGAATTTCCTGGATAAAGTGAAACAGTCTTGGCAGATACCTGTTCAAGAAAACCCTATGACTTCGTTTTTTCTAAAACTAAAAAGGCTTAAGGCTTGTTTGAGGAATATCAACAAAGATCATTTCAGTAACATATCTGAAAGAGTGAAGCAAAAGAAAGTTGAACTTGAACATTTCCAACTTCTAACTCTTAAGGGGGAATTGTTCCATTGAAAATGAGCTGAAAATTCAAAATGAACTATCTCACCTTGAAGTAGTAGAATCCATGTTCCTAAACCAGAAATAAAAAATATAGTGGCTAAAAGAGGAGGATAAATGTACAAAATTTTTCCACTCTATCATTGCTTCTAGACACAAAAAAGATACCATTAGAGATCTTATCAATGACCAAGGAAACAAATTAAAAACCTTTGATGATATAGCTTATAAGCTTATTGATTTCTTCAAAAAACTGTTAGGAACTGTTGACAACAATGTTATCTTCACTGATCCTAATACCCTAAAAATTCTGCTCAATCTAAACTTGTTTAGAGATGCTCTCACAGATTTAGGGAAAGACATTATTGTTGAGGAGATAAAACAAGCTTTCTTTACTCAAGGTAGTGATAAAGCTCCAGGACCAGATGGTTATTCTCCCTTATTCTTTAAGAAGTCCTGGACTGTTATTAGAGAGGATGTTATCAAAGCTGTTAAATTCTTTTTCCATAATTCTTTCATCCATCCAGATTTCAATTCCACCATTTTAACATTGGTTCATAAGATCACTAATCCTAGCAAGGTTTCTGACTATAGGCCCATCTCCTGCTGCTCAGTGGTCTATAAAGCTATCACTAAGATTATTGGTAAAAGACTTACTGATCTGCTGCCTGATATCATTACCCCTAACCAATATGCTTTTGTCAAGGGTAGATCCATCATTGACAATTCTCTTCTTGCCCAAGAACTTGTGAAAGGCTATGGGAGGAATTCTATTTCACCTAGGTGTTCTCTCAAGATTGATCTTCACAAAGCTTTTTGTCTCCCTCAGTTTTTGATTCATTTCTTCTATTCTAAAAGCTATTGAGCTGCCTCCTTTATTCATTAAGTGGATAGAAGTCTATTTTTCTAAAGCTAGATATTCTATTTCATTTAATGGCTTTTTGATTGGTTACTTCAAAGGTGAAAGGGGCATAAGACAAGGGGATCCATTATCTCCCACCTTATTTGTTCTTTCTATGAACATTCTCTCTAAGCTTCTCAATATTATTGCTTCAAGAGGTATTTTTGGATTTCATCCAAAATGTAAAAAGCTTGGACTCACCCATATTTCTTTTGCTTATGATCTACTTATTTTCTGCAAAGGTAACCTTGAATAAGTGACAGGGGTTATTATTGTTTTAGAACAATTTTATTCCATGTCTGGTCTGAAATTGAATGCTGCAAAAAGTTAACTGTTCTCTGCTGGTATCTCTTTTAGAACTCTTGATCTCATTAAGCAATATACTGGAATTTCTTATGGTTCTCTTCCAGTGAGGTATCTTGGGGTCCCTCTAATCACTAGGAAGCTTACTATTAAGGATTGCTTTGCCCTCATTGACAAAATCAAGGCCAAAATCCAATAGTGGTCTGGAAAATACTTAAATTATGTTGGAAGACTTGAACTGGTGAAAACTGTTATGCTTAATATAGCAAATTTTTGGTGTAGGCAGTTCCTTCTTCCCCAGGCTATTATTAATTCAATCAATCAACTATGCTCAAGATTCTTATGGAAGGGTTCTAATGTAACAGCTTGTGGAGCGAGTGTTAGCTGGGCAAAAATCTGCTGCCCAAAATCTGAAGGTGGCCTAGGATTAAAGGATCTTAAAACTTGGAACAAGGCTATTATGATGTAGCTCATTCGATCCCTCCTTGCTGGAGAAGGATCTTTATGGATAGCTTGGACTTACTGTTATGTGATTAAATCTTATGACTTTAGAGTCATGACAGAAGTTCTTCTACTAGCTGGTGTTTTAAACGTCTTTTGAAACTTAGAACAGAAGCTCTTCATTTTCTTAATGCTACTCCTAAGGCTACCATAACCATTTGGGAGGAGATAAGATTTAAGCATTCCAAAGTCCCATGGCACAAGCTCAATTGGTTTCCCATGCACATTCCGAAATTCAGCATCATCTCATGGATAGCTATCCTTTATAGATTTTCTACTAGAGAGAGACTATCTAGAATGGGAATTACTACTAACGTTTCTTGCCCTCTTTGCAATGATCCTTTGGAATCGAGAAACCACCTTTTTGTGGACTATAGAATTGCAACCAGCTTGTGGAAGCAGATTCTAAACCTCAACCACCTGCTCCAGCCGCAAATGTCATGGGAAAATCTTATCAATTGGGCAACTTCTACATGGAAAGGTAAATCTCTCCTAACATCTATATTGAAGATTGCTTGGTGTTCCTTCATATACATCGTTTGGGAGGAAAGAAACAGGAGGATATTTCAAGGAAGAACTCATACGGTGGATGAAATGTTAAGTTCCATTAAGGGTATTGTTAGTGCTCAGCTTAGCAATAAGGACTTTAATAGAATTGATAATATCAACTCTCTTCTTTGTAACAATTGGGGTATAGGCTAACTAATTTTTGTTGTACATAGCTTCTTGATCCTTGATTGGGTGTTGTATTGAACGTTTTCTTGGATAATAAAATTTTACTTATCCAAAAAAAAATTAAAAAAATTAGTATAATTTTACATCTAATGTTTTTAAAATATTAACGACAACAACTTAATTAATATTATTTAAATAAAAAATTATGAAGCAACCCCAACAACCACCTTCAATGAGCATAAGAGCACCGATGACCCCATTTTGTTCATGTGTTCCCAATTCTAGGTTATGCCTCTGAATAATAATTATTATATAATACATAATTTATATGTTTGTAAATTTTGAAAGCTAAATTTATTAATTTTATTTTAAAGTTACGAACAAATTGATTCAATGTATAAACATTAAACTAAACTTATTGTTATGTCAATTAAGACGATATAAAATTAAAGAAAAACATTAATGACGTGATTACTTGTCCTTAATTGCTCATCTCCAAAAGTTGACAGGGACTAAATTAGGGACCAATTTGTCTGATTTTGACATCCTCGTGGACTAGTAAGGATAGTTGATTGGTTCAGGTTGCATTGCGAGGTTTATAAGCACAGCTTGTTCATTTTGGTGAACCTGCAGTAAACCGGTGGCGGTGGCGGCCGACGGTGGCCTTCCGGCGTATTTGATGTCTTCCATAGATCCCCTACCCAAGACTTTCATGGCGGTGCAAAGACGAGAAGCAATATAAGTGTATGCACCCATGTTCATCGACTCTTCTTGGCACCACACAATTTCAGCATCTGATACATTGAAGAACACAAATTAAAAGATACAAACAAACACAAACTATCGTTTTTCAAGCCGGGTTAGATTGTGCTTTACTTGGACTCGATTGAAATATTATGTACTTCTACTTGTCATTAAATCTGATTTGAGTTTGGAGAGATTTTATCCTACCTGAATCTTTGATTCTTTGATATATATATATCTAAAACTTGTTTTTATTAGGTAAAATAGAGATTTGGTTGAAAAGGTATAAAGAGATGGATAAGTTATCCCTAAATACTTGAGGGACAATTATCTTATTATCTTAAATCAGATCGAGTCGAAATTTTTCATCATAAATCCGAATCCGATCCGATTTCAACTTGATTTTTTTTAAAATAAACATGACCATAAAGAATTGGATTAGGTTGAAACCTATGGAGTTCAAATCAAAAGTCTATCCTATCCCTAGCCTTTAGTACTTGTTTAATACGAAAATATTTGACTTTTGACCTAACTCATGTATATTAATCTAAGTCAATACGATGTTCGGGTCAAGAGTATATTCGTAGATCCTAAATCTTAAATTCTAAATGATAATATGATAATTCAATCTAATAGACTTAATTTTAAAAGTGACACAATCTAATTTGATCTTAAAAAATTACGAACCTAAATTAATTCAATTTGAATAAAAAAATTGACGCGAACGCTAACCAAACTAATTTGAATCTAATATAAGTTGAACTTGAGGTATTAAAAGTTAAAATATCCAAACTCATTATGATTTAATTCGAAACAGAATAACTTAAACTCAAAACGATTAGAATCTAAAACTGATCCGAAAATTTTAAAATCTGAATTATTTGAGGGATTATATTATACTCATATTCAAATATGTATCATACTCGTACGTGTTGCTTGGAACATACTTGGATAACGCTTAAGCTCTCGCTGGATGAGATCGAAGGGGAAGGGACAAAGCTGTTCCACTCTACAAATTGCAATATCATCGGCATTGCGCTTTTGGCGCTCCTCATCAAGCTCGTAATAAACCTGGAAAAAAAATTCAATAATGATTATAGACGACATCGTTTCTCGATTGTATTAACCAAGAAATATAGTCATTCAAGCCTCGAAAGAGTTGTATAATGGGTTCGGACTCGTGCCCGTAAAGTCCGGGACACGAGCCCGAACCCTGACCGTCCTTGTCTTTTCAAGCAGCCTTTTTCAAGTAATTTGTGATACTTGATAAACTTTTACATGAACAGAATCGAAAAATAAAACGCTCTAGGAAATAATATGAATATGTAGAAAGAGAAAACATACCTTCCCGGAACAAAGAACCAGTCGCCTGATACCTTTTTCGAGATCCGAATGATTGTTTTGGTCCTTTATAAGACGTTTAAATCTGGTTCCCTGTTTGTCGAAGCCTTCATGGCCTTGAACATCGTCGAATTCCGATAGATTCGATTTGCAGAACTTGTAGCGGAGCAGGTTCTTCGGTGACATTACAATCAATGGCTTACGGAATTCCCTATGCATCTACAAAACGAAAAATCATGAGACGGTGTTGGATATATACTCGTATCCGACACATAAATCTGCATTCGAGTAACAAACGATGTACGAGAAACTAGCAATCAATCTACATGGTAAAGATGAGGTGCTCTGTCTCACCTGTCGCCTTATAACATGGAAGTAATTTGCAGGAGTTGTAGCATTGACAACCTGCCAATTGCATTTCTGTATTTGCTTTCTGTGTGTTTGATCCATTTCAGGAATTTCGTAAGGATCCTCATCGCTCATCTGTCATTATCGATATCGGACATAGACCCGTATTAGACATGCATACCTACACATATTCGACATTCATTTCTGAATCCGAATAACATAGGTTCTCGAATCCTAACCTGGAGGAATCGTTCGAGTCTTGCACTCGAATGTTCGGGACCTTGGCCATCATAGCCATGAGGAAGCAATACGACAAGCCCCGTTTGCCGAAGCCACTTAGCCTCTCCACTGCTTAGAAATTGATCAAATATAACTTGAGCACCATTAGAAAAATCACCAAACTGAGCCTCCCAGAGAATGATGGCGTCCGGATTTTCCATCGAGTATCCCAATTCGAACCCGAGAACACCGAATTCCGAAAGAGAGCTGCCATCATTGGCATATACTCCATTAAAACACCACATATAGTATATATGTACAGGGATATGGCCATACCCCAAAGTCCGAAACATACACTTCAGACAGAATAACATAGTTTCGATTGTAAGAGCAGTTTTATACCTGTTACTCACTGTAAACATCTCTGCATTCTGGTTCTCCATGACATGATCCAAAGGGCAATAAATTCTGCCTGTTTCTTGATCGTGAACAATTGCGTGCCGATGACTAAATGTTCCTCGTTCGACATCTTGGCCACTCAGTCTAACATGCTTACCTTCAACCAATAATGTTCCAAAAGCCAGTGCCTCCCCCATCGCCCAATCGAGGCCCTCCCCGGTTTCGATCATCTTCGCTCGATCTTCATACACCTTCTTCACCGCTCTATGGGGCTTGAAATCTTTGGGAAGAATTGAGATTGCTCTCCCAACCTTCTTTAGTATCTCTGGATTCACCCTGTTAGAATTTGTGACATAAATAGTGACGAACTTAAAATTTTATGACCAAAGAAGGCATTAGTGTTGGAAAAATTCTGTCAGTAAATTTTCCGACATTGATTAGCCGTTCTCCAATTGAGAAACAAGAACAATATTAATAACATGTGTACAAACCCGGTATTTCGGATTCGGGAAAGTTGTTCGGGTGATTTGAATCCTTTCCAATTAGTTGAAAGCCAGTCCCTTCTTTGTTGAACATAATCTTTACTATTCAAGAACTCTTCATTGAGAATGGAATCAACCTTTTTGTGCATCCTCCCAATGTCTTCTTCAGTCACCTCTCCGGATTCCAAAAGCTTATTTTTATAAATTTCAAGTGATGAGGGATGCTTTTGGATGACCCTGTACATGTTCGGTTGCGTGAAAAACGGCTCATCGATCTCGTTATGTCCGAATCGCCGGTAACACACGATATCAACGATGACGTCCGAATGAAACGTCTGGCGCCATTGTGCTGCAAGCTCGCATACATGAACGACAGCCTCTATGTCATCACCGTTAACATGAAAAATGGGAGCATTTAAGGCCTTGGCAACATCGGTACAATATTGTGAAGATCGTCCAGACCTTGGATCGGTTGTGAATGCCACTTGATTGTTCACTACGATATGTATAGTCCCACCGGTCGTGTAGTTCGGTAGTGCACTAAGGTGTAGAGTTTCATACACCACACCTTGTCCTGCAAAGCTTCCATCCCCATGAATCAATACTGCCATGTTCTTAGTCCGATCCAAATCGTTTGAAAAGTATTGCTTCGCTCGAGTTTTTCCGATCACAACAGGGTCTACGGCTTCTAAATGACTCGGATTTGCAACCAAAGACAAATGGATCCTCTTCCCACCCCGAGTGGGACGATCATAAGAAGTTCCTAAATGGTACTTAACATCACCAGTGCCTGTGTATAGCCCGCTTTCATCTTCAAACTTTGAGTTCTTATCAAACTCGCTGAATATCTGTCGTAGAGGCTTTCGGAAAACGTTACCTAAAACATTTAATCGGCCTCTATGAGACATTCCAACAACTATACACTCGACCCCTAAGTCCGCAGCTCGATCGAACATCTCCTTCATACCGGGAATCAACGTCTCCCCACCTTCAAGCCCAAATCTCTTAGCTGTTTTCATTTTTGTTGCCAAGAAACTCTCAAACTTTGTACTCCACATAAGTCTATCTAGAATTACAAAACGACGATCCTTGTTGTAGTGCATAGGTGTCGGAGTTTCGATTTTTTCTCTTAACCAATTACATTTCTCTCGTTCCTCGATGTGCATAAATTCAAACCCAATGCTCCCACAATAGGCTTGCTCGAGACGCGTCAATATCGACCTGAGAGTCTGAACCGGTCTGTTTTCAGATAAAAATCCGGACATACTCCATACACCTATGAAGAATTCGCGGTCAAGATCGGTGTCGGTGAAACCGTAGAATGTAGGGTCTAACTCGTCAGGGATTTCCCTTTCTTCCAAACCAAGGGGGTCTAATTTTGATTTCAAGTGACCATTAACTTGGTAGTCCCTCACAAGCAACATCAAACGCATGCTCTCCTGTATCGTTTGGCCCGAAACTCCATCCCTCCCCGACGCCTGTCCAACGAAATTTCTGAAGAAATTATCCCAGGATTCATCAACACTGCTCGGATCAGATTCCCAAGATCTTTGAAGTTCTTCCAAGTACACACTATTCGTCCCATCGAGAAAGCTATCAGACAGCTTCGAAAGAGGTACAGCTCTCGGAATAGGTGAGGCTTTCTCCTTCGGATTGAATACAGTGGAATGAAAACATTGACTCCGTAAATGAAAGATCTGGCTTCTCACTGCATATGATCCGCTTTGGGGAAGTGTTCTTTTGATCGCAAACCTTCCCAGATATGAACAAGCTCTACACCAAGCCATTACTTGTGGCACAAGCTATCGAAAACGAGTTGCCAGTAAACAATCAAGATTATTCTTCAAAGGCTTGATTATCAATGAATGAACGTCGAAACAAATAAAAACACCAAAAATATATACAAATTGTGAAATAATAATTCAAAATACTGAAATTTAATGACATTTCAAACTTGCAGAAAATAGTTAATTAAATGGTTCAAAGGATCAAGGAGATAAGTATGGCGTTAGTAGTTAAGTGGTGCATTTTCCGTTATAAATGGAGACAGTTGGGGTCAAAAGGTTACACTTATGTATGAAGTTAATTAGCTTATTCACATTTGTTTATACATACATATATATATAGTAATCTAAATTTGATTAAAATATTATTTTAATTTCACAAAGGATCATATGTCATTGAATTGTTAATGTATATATTAACATTTTAAAATATTAATCTTCTTTCCAGAGTCCAAGAGATGATAATGAGTTGAATATCTTAAATTTCTTTATAATATTTGAATATGCGAAAACGAATCGAATAACTACAAAAATCCGGATTTAAAATATCCATTATTAAATCAAGATGGTTTATAAGTGTTCTATATACCATCATAGTATTTGGATGCTTAAACCTATATCAATACTTTTTGGCAATCATTTCTGATTGATTGTTAAGGACGAAGGTTTTAGGTCAGAAAACCGTATATCGGCAACAATCCCTCGGTTTTGATGCTGAAGGTACCGACATCAACGATGAAAAGTTCGATATGGTCTATACAGCCGGAGTACTGTGATGCTGCTATTATGCATATTTGCCTATTGGAGTTGACAGGAGAGGCTGATATGGTCATCGTTGAGTTGTGATTTAGGCCATTCTCACTCATCAGCTTCACCTGCAGCACTTTGTTTCGGTGATAATTATGTACGATTCGAGGCGGTTTTATTCGTTCTCCTCCGTGTAGGGCTTTGAATTCCTTGGAATTGATCTCCTAAGGCCCCATTAATGGAATGATAGAGACCGATTTATGGGACTTGCCAGAGGTGAATGGCCTGGTTTTATGAAATATGTACATGGAACTTTTCATGCAAATTTGTCATAAAGCTAGAGGTCGTAGACTATCTCCAACCCTAGCATTCTCAATTTCTGCTTGGTTTTGTTTATTTGCAACTATAAACTTTGTTATAATGAATCTATTTAACATGCTGTCTACAAATTATTCCTATCAAAAATTTGGAAAAGACGGATCAACAGATAATTTGGAAAATACTGATCAACGGCTGTTTCTTACCCGCCATCACTCCTATCCAAGTTAGAAAGAGTGAACCTCAAACAACCGACGAAACAAATTATGCAGAGTGCAACTCAACCATTATGTGTTGGAACTGTAAGACCGGTCACTTAGCTCGAGCTTGCCTAAATCCCAGACTTCCGGCTCACGATGCAAGACTCTGCAACAACTCTGCAACAACTGCTACAAGCCAGGCCACTTTGCTGCTGCCCGTACCAACAATAATGCGTGCAATAACTGTCGTAAAACCGGTCACGTCATTCGCGACTGCCCTAACAAGCCTGTTTGCAATATCTGCAATATATCAGGTCATGTATCCCGACCATGTACAAAGTCGATCCCATCATCGAACATGGGAGGCTCCTTCCGGGACCTTGTTCCCCACAACCGTGGCCAGCCAGGTCATAACGGTTGGGACTGCGTCTCGATTGTCACATGCAATAACAGTGGCGGAAGGGATCGCCTTCAGTACGAATGCCCTTCAGCTAGGATGTATGACCATGTTGGTGTACGTAGTGCTTAACTAACTTGGATACGATTCATACATTAACATCTCTTTGTTCGACTCATCTTTAAATTGTGAATCAATTCTTGAAGTAATACACCATTGTTGTTCTTCAATTAAAGTTGCAGTTCTCTCTACCTGGAAAATTTGCCATATTGTTATTCATAGGAGAAAAGTTGGCTGAATAAAAATTAGCGATCCATTAGGTTAAGCTAGTACTATTGTAACCGTTAAGAACAAAAATTGATATTAGAAAATGAATAGTTCAACCGGTTGGATTGATTTTTATTATTTTTAATAAATTATTTAATCATTGTCAAATTTATAAACAATTTAATCATTAATTTAGTTCTTACAATTAAGGATATCAATGGGACAGGACAAATATATAAATACCCATTTATCTATTTCCGTTACGATATTTTATCCTCATTTTCACAACTTATTACTGATGTAAAATTTAAAATCTTTCATGTGTCGTGACTTGCAAAAATAAAATCATTCTCGTCCTACTCACGTGGATCTAGAGACTCACCAAATATATGTTATACCCTAATATGATTAATTTCATATAATATATTTTTAAGTATTTTAAATATAAATAAAATATTTTATAAGAAAATATAAAATATCTATCCTCTCAATTCCTATCACGTATGTGACATTAATTTTAGAAAATAAATTATTTGTATAATATTTAAATACAAATAATAATACGAGACAAATGAGATTGTTAAGTAGAAAGTCATATTCAAGTTTGTCCACTATTCATGTAGGTCTAATTTTTTATCTCTATTTCCACACCGTCATCCATAAAACTGAACATGTACTTTTCCTCATCCAATTGAACGCAAAATAAAATGGAATCCATATAAGGCATTCTTACTTGTAACATTATTACGAATTTAAAAATAATAATTAATTTGATATAGAAAATAATGAGTTGTCTATTCAACTCAGTTGGTAGAGTACAAGGTTCCTTAAGGTTGTGGGATATAGTCTTACGGTGGACAATTTATAATTTGAAGGTCTCCTGCGGAAGCTGCTGCTCTCAAACCTGACGTTGAGGACAGTCTACTATCCTACATTCCTTTTACCCCATTACATATGGGAATAAGGGTCAATTAATTTTATTTTGATAACAAAAACAAAATAATAAATAAAATTACCAAAAATAAACCAAGCAAAAAATGTGAAAACAAAAGGTAAGAATAGAAATAATCAGAAAATACCGGTTGCCAGCTCATAATAACACCTCGCGTAGAACTACGCTCATACTTACAGCTAAGACTCACTTCTCGGCGAACTTTTCTCTGTTCAAATGTAGAATTTAACCCCCAAAATCACTAATCCAATCAATTAAACACTTAATTTCTAAATAATTAAACCTAAACAAACTTTTACTTTTATTCTATTTTTTAATTTGAGGAGTTGGATTGTGAGAGAGTCGTAGCTTAGATTCGGAGCAAGCGGAAATCCGATGACAACGATGTTCAGTCCCGGTCGGAGCCCCGGGAGCTCGAGGTTTCAGTTAGGAACAGCTAGTGGAGTGTTGCGGCTTAGATCTCTGTCGCTCAAGAAGCCGCCCGAGCCGTTTCGTCGGGCGGTGGCGGATTGTCTTTCTTCCTCGTCGTCTTTTTCTTCTTCGTCGCCGGCTGCGGGACCTGGAGGTGTTAGCTCGTATCACCATGGGAGTCCGTTGGTTTTAACTGAAGCAACGAGGACACTTCGGGTTCGTTATTATTCTTTGTTGGATTTGAAGTTCCTCTTATTGTTTTGTTTTTAGATCTTGAAATATTGTTGTGTATTTTTTATGTTTTGTAATATAATGAGTGGTTTTCTGCTATGTATAGATATTGAAAAAAAGGAAAAGAAAACATAATAGATTTCTCTTTTAGAATTCATTTAGGTGGCAAAACGTTTTGGAAACATAATGGATTTAAATTACTGATAACGTTCTATATGTTTATAAATTGGTGGAATCCAATAATGAAAATGGACATCATATTTGATTAAAAATGAGAATGACCAAATGTATTGAGTTAAGTTTAATAGTGAAAAAGAATTTTAAGAGTGCATTTTGTTATTTGCAAAAGTTAGATTTGAAATTCTAGTTCTTCACAATTATTCTTTTGCTTGGGGCAAACAAAAACTTTGTAAAAGCACAACGGAATACAACTTAAGTTAACTACTTGAAATTTGAAGCCTTTTCCTTTCGCTTCACCTGTAGAATTTATATTTGAATTTTGTAATATCATGGTTCGTGTATTTTAGATTCTTTTGGAGTTTTTGTTAGAATAAAAATATTAGTATTAGACCTTTTTGCCTCACCCGTGGAATTGGTATTTGAACCTTATAATATCAGATATTTAACAATGACAGGACTATCTGGCAGCGCCCTCAACAATTGACCAGTCTTACATTGTTATTTTAGAGCATACAATTGCAGAGAGGGAACGCAGGTAATTTATTTGCATAGTGTACGTATATAACTGACCACAAAGTGTTGTAGAGTCAGATGGGGTTATGAGCATGTTTGTGTGATAAATAGATTGGAGATACAGATTTTTAGTGATTGTGAGGTAATGCCTATTTCTGATAAATGATGGTGTGGTTTTAGATTGTTTGAACAAGTTGTTGTGTTGAAAGCTTAAAATGCTTCGTCCGTATGACAGTATATTTACACCAAATTTATGCAATGTTATACAAGTTGTGTAAATTATTCTAGAAACACATCTGAGTTATGTTTGGATTTCTGGAAATTTCATAGAGACGCGGCAGAAGAAAATGCAATTTTTTTCAATTATTCTTAAACACTTGGATGGAATATAGTACTGCAAGGAAAAACATGTAAAGAAAAAAATGATGCATGATTGTTATAAACAATTGATACCAGGTGCATTATTTTTTTTTTGATAGAAGATATACCAGGTGCATTATTATTATAATTATTATTTAACAGTTGATTACTGATTCAACTGTTGTTGCATGTCATTCAAAATTCACTTTTTCCCTTTTTAATCTAGTTATTACGCTTAGCACAGTGCTTGAATTAATTTTCTTTTTGCCTAATGTGTATATAATTTGTGCCAGTCCAGCTGTGGTGGGAAGTTGTGTGGCACTCCTGAAGCGTTACCTCTTAAGGTATGCTGTTATTGCCGTGAACTTGTATTTCTCTTATTTTCATTTTATGTAGAATAGGAAAGTGTTTGAATGTTTGTTGGTTTCAGAATGAAATATTT